ATAGATACATATAGATGATGATGATAGATAGATGATAGATAGATGATGGATGATAGATAGATGATAAATAGATGGTAGATAGATGATACATAGACATATATACAGAAGAAAATACATACTGATGATAATTGTACATAGATAAATCATAAGTAGATTGATGATGGATAGATAGGTAATAGAAAAGCAGGCAGATTGTAGAAAGAAATATATGTAGGAAGAGAGATTCATGAGGAATTTTCCTTATGATAGGACATTAATAGGAAATCAAGTAATGATTGTTAATAATACCTTGCCAGTTGTTGGGGAGTATTTATTCTATCCTTTTACTGTAGTAATGCAGGACCCCAGTAGTGTGTGTTCATTGGACCTCCCTCCTCTCTCCTTCTTCCCTTCCTTCCTGTTCCTGCCCTCCCTTCCTCGTCCCTCCCTCTGTTCCCTTCTGTCCCTCCCTCCTTTCCTCCCTTCCTTCCGCCCTCCCTCCGTCTCCCCCTTCCTTCGTTCCTTAGCAACCCAATTCTCTGACCTCAAATTCATTATGTAGTTGAGGATGACCTTGAACTTCTGATCCTCCTGCCTCCACCTTCTCAGTGCCAGAACGGAAGGCATGAACCTTCATACCCAACTTAAACTCAATAATTTATTTTGAGGCAGTCTCATTTTCTCAGGCAGACCTCAGACTTGCTATGCTGCCGAGGATGGCTTTGAACTTCCGATCGTCTTGCCTCCACCATCCGAGTGCTAGGATTGCAGACAGGTATCGGCAGGTCCAGTTTATGTGGTGCTGCGGATAGAACCCAGGGTTTCACGCATGCTAGGCGAGCACTTTACCAGCTGAGCCACATCCAAAGCCCTCTGTTCACTGAATTTATAAACAAGCAATATATGATGATCCCTTTATTTCAAGGCCACTTTCTTAACTGCATTTGCAAAGATCCTTCTGCTAAACACAGTTACATTCACTTTTCAGTGTTTTACATGATCTTGTCTTTGGGGGACTACTTTTCCACCCAGTATACAGACGTTCCAAGCATGTGCTTACTGTTTTGATCAACTGAAAAGAGAGTAGAAGGAGAGTCACTGAAGTCTGTGTGCTCGTTGGCTCACGCTAGTTTTGAATGGTAATTCAATGCCCAGAGCTGCAACTGTTTTCCTGGGCTTCCTGGGCACTGTTGCCCAGGATCTGGTGAAACTACAACACAGCGGTGTTTTTTCTTTGTTTAATACGCTGCTTGCTCCTCAAGACCATCATTGAACTTCAAAACCAAATCTATTTTCTCTAATTGTCAATGGAAGCTGTGAGTTCCCATGGTGACACACAGTGTTACTGAAAAGAAAAGGAAGCGGAATGAAACTTTAAATGACACATCCAAAGATATCAGGAAATTGTCCCAACAGGGGACAGGGAACTTACCAGGAAGCCTATTGCAGTAATTACTGTGGAAAGGAGGCAGTATCTGGGTCAGAAAGTGTCTTCTGGGTTTCTCTCTCCTAGCACTAGTGTGCTGTGACATTTTGATCATTAGCGTGGGGCTGTTCCTGTTTTCTATTAGTACTGACACCCGAGGACCCAGTCCAGCAAAGACAGAACACGCCCTGTGTGTTCTTTCCGGGTCTGAGAATTTGCTCCAGCGACCCTGGTGAATGCTGGCGCTTTGCAGACCTGGTGCTTTTCATGATAGTGTGTGTCGTGGAACAAATTCTCAGTCAATATCTTATGCTTGCACGTATGCATGTGTGTGTGATGTACATACGTGTGCATGAATAGGTCAGAAGTCAACACTAGGTGCCTTCTACCACCTGCTTTCAGACAGGGTCTCTCACTGAACCTGGAGCTCATAGGCTCAGGTGGGCTGACGAGCCAGAGAGCTCCCGGGATCCCCCTGTGTCTGCCCTACCACTGCAGGGTTTAGAGATGTGTGCCCACTCTTTACGTGGGGTCTGTGGATCCAAACTCAGGTCGTCATGTTTTCACAGCAAGCACTTTACCAACTGAGCCATCTCCTGTGACCTCAGAAGTCCTTTCACATGAAAAGACCGCAGCTGTTCACATGTTCAAAGATACATGCAACAGGTTATAAAATATACAAGCACCTGTTGGGTATGCAAAAAGCCTAGAGGTCTACTCCAACACTGGAAAGGAGAGAGAGAGAGAGAGAGACAGAGAGAGAGAGACAGAGAGAGACAGAGAGAGAGAGAGAGAGAGAGGTTAGAAAGGTCAAAAAAGATTTGGTTTTGCTCCTGAGTGCATCAAGAAAGGGTTTATGCCTGTTTCGGAAAGGAATGGGGGCGTTCTGCGAGAACAGGTGTCGGGGAATGAGTGTGATCAAAATACATTGTATGCATGTAGAAAATTCTCAAGGACTTTATAAATAGAATTTTAAAAGAAAGGGTTTATGGAAATACCATATTCGTATACAATAGTCAAAGGAGGGGGTAAGGGAGAACAAGTTAGGCAAAACTGAAAATTTGCACATAAAATGAAGGGCAAATGCACGCACTTCATACGACGTCGGGAAACAGCATACAGACGTGTAACTACATGTTTGCTTGGGTGGAGGAAGTGCATGCCTGCAAGCATCATCCTCTTCAGACGCTTCTCTGCAGAACCTCAAAGATGCAATAGTTGGTGTTTATGTGATTAAAAATTGTGTATTCGGGTCTTTTGAGAACCATAAAATTGATTTAAGGAATGGCTTAAAAGGGTAAAAAGAGTGAATCAGGACAATTAAAGCCATGCAATTAAATTGGTTTGTTCTAACTGCTTCTTAGTAATTAGAGTTCATGCTCGGCAAACCCCATAAAAACAGAGTTGAGATTTAAGAGAGGGTAAGTGAATTACTGCAAACCCCATACAAGTCTTCACTGTGAGAGTTTGGCCTAAGAGCGTGCGAGACCTGGGCCTGCGTACCATGACTGACAAGGGATCCACTGGATGATGATTCTAACCTGGGGCTGCATACCATGATTGACGAGTGATCCACTGACTGATGATTCCAGAGCCAGGGCCTGCACACCATGATTGACAAGGGATCCACTGGATGATGATTCCAGAGCTGGGCCTGCATACCATGACTGACAAGGGATCCACTGGATGATGATTCTAACCTGGGGCTGCATACCATGATTGACGAGTGATCCACTGACAGCTGATTCCAGAGCTGGGCCTGCATACCATGACTGACAAGGGATCCACTGGCTGATGATTTTGGATTTTCATTCCTATTTGCTAAGCTATTTTGATAGTGATGTTTAGAAATACTTTATTGCCGCTTATGTGCCCAGAGTAGAAACATCCAGTATAGATGAGTGGTTTAACACTCAGCGTGGTATGGCCTCATGGAAAGAGATTCATGTGTGTATCAGAGACATGGCAGAGGCAGACAGAAAGACAGAGACTGACCAGACACAGAGAAGACAGAGAGACAGTGATAGAGAGAGAAAGACAGAGAGAGGCAGATCATAAATCAGGGCAACCCGACCCTTGGGACAGGGGAGCCTAGAAGCCACCTGATTTTTCCTTCCCTGGGTAATGGGGTTTATGTGAGGAATCTGGTGACCGATGAGAAAAACGCAGCTAATTTCTAGGTCTGGTCACCTTCTCACCTTGTCACCCAACTGCGGTAGTAGCATCTCCACGCCCGGATACCGGCCTCTCTTCCTTCACCGTCTTCCCAAGGTCCTCAGGGACGGATACCGCCTAGTTCTCTAATGCTTCCTGTCCTGCCGCAGACCCACTTCAGCCTGACAGCCTGTTCCCTTCCTTGTGGACGTGCAGGATGTGGCTAAGTCACGGAAACACCCGTAGCTTCCTGCCAGAGTCACAGCGCACATCACGCACGTGCTCTCTGTTTTCCACAGGTTTCCCCAAAGTTCCTGCCCTAATTTTTCTCAAGATATGTTATTCTCTGAAAACCATTCCGCAGCACGTGGCCACATTACGCTTCGTTCTGTTTCGCAACGTCGTTGTGGCATCACTGAGCAGGTTGGCTGACCGTATTGTTCTTAATGGCATCGCCAAATTCTAACAAGATACCCGTTCTTCTACAAGAAAAAAAAAAAAAACACAAATGCTAAAAATAAATACAAATATTGTAAAGCACACTCACAAAACTGAAAATCTGGATATACTTTTTTTTCAGAATTTAATTAGGAGGCGTGGTGGCACACAGCACTAAATTCTAGTACTTGAGATAATGAGGAACAAGGTTCATGAGTTTGAGGCCAGCCTGGGCTACATGGAGAGATGCTGTGGGAGCAGCCATTGAGGTGCCTTATTCAAACCAGTTTTCCTTCCGCAGGAAGTGCACGGCATCATCGAAACCACATTTGTACAGGCACTCCATTTTCTTCTTCCTCGGTGGGAACAGGGCGTGGTTGAGCCTCACCAGGTTGGCCAGAGACAACTAGGGTGGACAGAGAAAGGTGTTAGCTGCAGAAACTGACAGGAAGGCATACACATGCTGTTTCTATAAGGTTTCCTTACCCCGGATACAAAACCACTTCGCAGGAAAACAGGAGTCGAACTGGGAAGCTACTCCCCCGTTAGGCTACAAGAGGCCTTCTTAGTCCGCACACCCTGGGCACATTTGCCCACATACTTCTGTTGAAGTGGTCATCTTCTGCGTGGCAGGATTTTAAGAGCATCCCAATCTCTACGTGGCAGACACCAGTAGCAGTCTCTAGATGCACTAATCAAAACCATGCTCCTCAAAAGGACCAGGGATGTAGCTCAGCTGGTAGGGTCTGCCCAGGATGCATCAGGCTCTGGGTTTGGTTCAGATCAACATATAAACAGCATGCCTGTAATCTCAGCACCCCTTCCTGAGGTGGAGGCATGAGGTCAGTTTCGAAACTCTGAGGCTAGCCTGGGTATGTGAGGCACTGTCTCAAAAGAAACAAATGAACAAAGAAAACAAAAAACTCAAACTCACAAAAATTGCTTTGTGACATCACCAAATCGTTCCTGGGTATGATCATGCCCTGTGTTGAGAAGGATTTTATTAAGACTCCCAGTATTTTTGTTAACTGTTTATTTGAGGCCCTAAATTTCTCTCCAGCATTTTTCACATTTCTAGATAAATAATCTAATTTAAAATGCTATCATGTCTTATCAAGTTTGTTGATGTGAAAAATAAGTAAGAGAAAGAAGATTTTGAGAAAACTGACAGCCAGTGCAGCCGACGGGATGCTGATGGTCCACAGGAAGCAGGTCTGTACACATGACAGCTGTGGTAAAGTTTTAGACTTCTAGCATGCTTGGCTGCCTTTCATAGTACCAGGATGCTGATGGTCCACAGGAAGCAGGTCTGTACACACGACAGCTGTGGTAAGGTTTTAGACTTCTAGCATGCTTGGCTGCCTTTCGTAGTACCAGGAGGTGCTATGTAGACTGAGTGTGTGTGTGGGGGTAATCAAGTCTTTTTTAAAAAATAATTTTTTTATTCTTCAGAACTGTCATCAACAGCCTTACGTATCTGTGAACCCCAAGAATTTTAACAAGAGTTGGCATGGCAAGATATGCCCACGGGTGCCACAGTGGTACTAATGTTTTTGGAATAGCCAATCCCTTTCTGATTGGATGTCAGGTCATCTCCAGATGCCTGATACTGCATAGTCTGGGCAAGCACACAGGGATGAGGAGCTCACAGGACACAGGGGTGAACCTAGTACTGACAAATGGCCATAGTATCCAACTGCCCTCGAAATTCGTATCTCCCATAGATTAGTGCAAATCTCAGACCTCATCAGAAAAGTTTCTTTGTGCAGTGGCTGGTGTTAAACTCACAGGTGATCCCAGTGCAGAGAGTGTCCGTGGATTGCTAATCCACAAGGGGGACATCTATATCACCTTCCTGGGCTCAGGGACCTTCGAGAAAGATGGAGCACAGAGACTGGAAGATCCAGAGGTCAGAGAGGAACAGTGACATAGTGTGTTCTGGACACAATAGGACTGACCACCGTACTCATGAGCTCACAACAGTGTGGCTTCCTGCACAAGAATGGAGCTGAACAAGATCAAGTCCGTCCAGACTCTAGCAGGAAGGAGGTTCTTAAGCCCCCATTCCTGACTGAGGAGGTACAGGCGCTTGATGGCTCCTGGAGGACGGAGAGCCAGATTTCTTAAGAGTATGGCCCCTGGTAGGACGACCTTCCTCCAGTGGATGGCATCGCACAAATTGGACTCTGCAAGTGATTTTTGAAAAAAAAAACAAAAAACATGAATTTGGTAGGGGGTGGGGAAATTTGGTAGGGGGTGGGGAAATTTGGTAGGGGGTGGGGAAATTTGGTAGGGGGTTGGATCAGGGAGGAATTATGGGGTAAATATGATCAGAACATATAAAATTCTCAAATCATAAAGATATATTTTGAAAAAGAATTCTAGCAGGTTATTGAGAGGGAAAATATATACATAAAATTGTCAAGGAGATCCCAACATTCGAGAGGTATGTTGAATTCTTCAGGGACGTTTACGGGATTAGAACTTTTCAAATGTCACCCAACCCAACGACTCACCATTATATCCTGATTGGAGACATTAATGTAGAGGTCCAGCTGCCCTTTGTCTTGTGGGGAGATGTCCAGCCGTCCACTGAAAGGGGAGATGGTCACGGTGCGTCCCTCGGGCAGAACGGGGAGGCTGTTGGTGAGACCTCCATCCACCCATTTCTGTGGAAAGGAACCCCCAGAGACACAGCTGTCAACAGCACACCTCCCACACCCAATAAGGAAGGAGTGCAGCTTCTCCAACAAGCACTTTCCTTCCTTGCAATACATTCCATGGTTTGCTCTTCCTCTTCATTTAATATCTGAGGCCAATCCGATTGAAGATCTGTTTGGGAAGCAACTAAAGGTTCCTGCATATACAACTTAGCAGCATGAGAGCTCTGCACAGAAGATGAAAAGTTGCCCAGAGCTTAAAACCTAGGTTCCTTTTCAGAATTCGTACCAAAATCATATCAATCACCTGGCACATGGTTTCACCACAGCTAAGAAGTCATGTGCCATTAGTTGGGGCTTCTTAGGCAGTCCAAGAGAAAAGCCAGTCCACTCGGGACAGAGCACCGACCACGAGAGGGAGTCTCGTGTTTCTTAGGAGATTTGGAAACTGCCATTTTCAGCCCAAACTTAACAATACAACAGTCAGAAACATTTCTATTTGCAAAGTGGCTCCTGTGTACATGATGCAGGGGTAGTTTCCAAAGCAATAAAGAACAGCAGCAAGTGCCAGGGGAACAAACATTACTCAGAAGGGATCCAGCACTTTGAACATGCACACAGAAGAGGGATGGATGGAACAGGGAAGGGTAAGAAAAGGAAGCCGGTGTCAGGGTAGCACAGAGGAATGGTGGGATGTCCAAGGTGAGGATGATCCCTCGGTCCCTCCCTCTACAGAAGTGTGTACTGAAAAATGGAACCTGACAGAAACACAATGGTGCTATTCCTCATCTGTCCCTTCAGTGTATCCATAAACTTCCAAGCTTACAGAATCTTAGAAATGAAGCCCAAGTTTTGAAATACATAGCTATCCACTTCCAGAACTATCCTTCAGAGCCAGGCATCACGATGAAGGAAGCTGAGGCAGGAGGGTTGCAAATACCAGGCTAGCCCAGCCTACATAGACTGTCTCAAAACACAAAACCAACAAATGAATTAGCTTTCAGACACCTAATACTGATGGAGAATTCCTCACAGTGTCTTGGCATGGGAAGTTTGGCCTAATCCCCAGAACTCTTGTAAAAAGCTAGTGGTAGCTGAGCATCCCTGTGGCCCCAGTATTGCAGGGTGGAGACAGGCAAATTCTGGGAGCTTGCTGGCCAGTCAGTGTAGCTCAAAAGGTCACCTTTGGGCTCTGGGAGAGATCTTGTCTTGAGACCAAGAGGCAGAGAGCAACGGAGGAAGATTCCCAACATCCTTTGGTCTCCGGCTGCACACACCTACCCACATGCATGTACCACATGCAGGGAGAGACAACCGGATGTGTAAGATCCTAAGTATGTAAAGCTTTTCCAAAGAGTAACTGTCAATGTCAATCGCCCCTGGCTTAGTTAATACAATGAATCCATTTCCTCTCAGACTCTATTTCTTCTTACTTGCTTTGACGTCTGAGCTGCTGGTGATATGGCTGCTATTCTGTTATTCACAAGGGCCTTGTGCAGACAACTCTTCCAAGGGGAACAGTATTAGGTTAACAAAGAAAAATGGGTTTAGATATTCTCTCGAGAGAACTGAGTTTTGGTAGAACCCAAAGTATAAGTAAAACAGATTAAAATGAAATGGCCCCGGACGACTTGCCTATCAACTATTTTTAAAGATATACAGATTATAATAATTGCACATTAAGTGAAGCCATGCTAATATCATATGCTTGTATAGATCTGTGTATGGAACATACACATGTGCGCAAGAGATGCATTCATAGGTTGTATAGACATCATTGCCTAAAGAGAGGCTTTGCCAGAGGGAAGGCGGTGAACAGCTGATTCTGTCTGGGACCCCGCTTTATTCTGACTCATACTTGCTTTGGGTATACATACCCACTTGTGGAATTAGACGATGCCTGGAGCAAAGAAAGAAGATACTGTCCCAAATTATCTCTTTTCATATTCTGAGCAGAACCTGTCACCCATGATGTAGAAATTCACAGACGTTTCATCAAAGAAAATTAAAGATATGCCATAGAATCTTAAGTAAGAACTCACATGACTGGCTCAACTTAATGAAAAGAGGGTGATCAGCTCATTAAATTGAAAAGTGTTCTAATTTACTACGGGGTTAATGACTGCTGTTTCAGGGAATTGCAAACCCTTTCTCCAAATTCCGTTCGCTCTTGTTAGCGCACTCTGATGAGATAAACGACTGGGGAAAACATATAGCCTGATCAAAGGTCTTGATTAAATCGTCACCGATCTCCCCTCCCTTCCAAGCGGTGATGCCATCCCCCCCCCCCCCAGCAGACCTCAGCCAGGTGCCGCTCTCCTGGCAGGGGTTCTCGCACAGAGCACCCCCAAACTCCTGACGTGCTGATTGCGGCAGCGTTTCTGAAAACAGCAACTGCAGCAGCAAACATTCCTCCAGCTCCAAGTTAAAGGCGAAGGCATTTGATGCTGCCTCGTTCTACTGATAGCTGATGGTCTCGTACAGGACAGATGTCTGTGCACAGGTGCCCTGGCATTCTGCCTTGTACTCCTGCAGTGCACCCCCCCCACTTCTGGCCTGGTGGGCAGTGTCCTATATGCTGGAAGCTACTGTCAGGAGCGCCACCATTCCCAAACCATCCTTCTGCAAACAGCTGCTGGCCTTTTCCTGCCTCTCCGTTGGTTTTCAGTCACAGCACTATCCTCCTCCAGGGAAAGCGCCACACAAGGACATACAGATTCCAGGAACAAAAAAAGCCTCAAAACAAAAGAGCGCTGCCCCCAAAGTCAGCGCCAATGGCTACCGCTGATCGTGGTGCCGCACCACCTCCCACCTCTGACCACATTCTAAGCATGTTCCACGTGAGTCAGCTGCTGGGGACAGTCAGTAAACAGAAGATCTCTGCAGTGGTAAGCTCATGCCTAGCTGTGTGGCAGATAACTGCTCTGATGGTCACTAAGGTGACAAAACTGAAAATCCCTTCTAAAGGGCCAAGGGAGGCTGTTCACATGAATCAGGATATTCTCTCCTGTCCGGGTGGCTTAGTGTTTCCTGTATACTCTGATGGGTTATGTGGGCCAATCAAAAGCCTGCTTTATGGATTCAGACAAATCTTACTAGATAAACAGATCACTGAAAGAAGCACACAAACACCCCAGAGGTGTCCATCTCTACAGAAAGGGCCACTGATTCACTTGTCATGCACTATGTGAGCATCCAACATGTGCCCGGTTATGTGCTCCAAGTGACAGATGCCGGACGGAGGAGTTACTATGCTGAAGCTGTACACGGGTCCAAATCAAGCGTGAAGTTTAATGAGCACTGTCGCCCTGACTAGATTTCTTCACTCAGGAGTTCATTTCATAATGCCTAGGGTGTTTGGAATGCACACACACAAGCATGTCATTTGGAGATGATTACATCATGAGGGCTCTGATGGAATGGACTGATCTTGAGACGGATTCAAAATACATGACAAAAGGGGAGAGGCCGGGCCAAACTGGAGGAAGTAGGTCACTAGGGAGGGAGGGGCATGCCCTCGGGGCTCTAGCTAGGCCTGGCCCCTTCTTGCAGAATTCTGTTTTTCTCTGTTCTCTGCTCCTTGGCCACAGGCTCCCACCAACATGATATCCTGTCTTATAACAGGGCTGGAAACACACAGCCAAGTGGCCAGAGGCTGATCCCTCTATAACCTTGAGCCAAAACAAATCCTCTTCCGTTGTTTCCGAGAACAGGAACTAATATACCAAGTGAATAGAAAAATACTTTGCTGGAAGAAGGACTGTGGTGTCTGTATCCAAAGCGCTCTCTGAGATTGTATTCAACTTAATCTCTACAATAACCCTCTGAAATAGGAAGGTCAGGATAGAACAATGGTCTCCCTCACACACGTCTGCATTTCACTGTATTGCTTACTCACGGTAGAACGTGTGTGGAAAATTCCAGAAATGCACAATTCGTAAGTTTCACTTTTGCATGGCTTTGAGTAGCAGGAAGAAATCTTGTGCTGCTCTGACCCCTCTGGCCTCTGATGTAAATCGTCCATTTAATCCACGTATCTCTGTCTATGCTACCCGCCTGGCAGTCACTTCGTGGCCCTGATTCACAGATCATGCCTTAGGACATCTGTGTTTCTCTCAAGTAGCCCCCATTTTAAATAGTGGAGACAATGACTGTGGTGACCCCAGGAGGCCCCAGGGCCTGAAGCATGGGGGATGGGCAGAAGAACTCTGGTACTGAGGGTTCATACTGCAGGGCATGCCACAAGAACATAGTGCGTACGAGGTGAGGGTTAGCACAGTCTCTGCTTTTACATATGCATTGTGCGTCTTTAAACATATCCCCTCGGGTAAATACACCCACTGTATATTCAGTCCCCTCATTTTCCAAGAGGAAATTGAGGCTTGTGAGGTTCTTGCTCCAAGTCGGGTTGGTAAGCGATGGCCTGTCATCTGCTGCTCTGAATAACGATTTACCAGTACAAAGGTCTTGCCCTTGGTTGATTGATTGCTGACCCATGATTTCCCATGATGGAAGCCCAACTGAACACGTGTGTGTATGTGCAAAGCTGAAGAGGTATGTGTTTGTAAAGATAAGTACCAGAGTGCTGAAAGTATTTTCACTGGGTACTTTAGAGAAAATCTGATTGTAAAAAGAGATACACTTGGTATTTTGGCTTCAATTTCATATTGTTTTTCACACCCTGGAAAATAGAGCCATTCAGTGGGGGTAAGAAAATCAACAGTGTTTCCCAAGGGCAGGGAGAAGGGAACATGAAATGAACATGCATTTTGAAAAATCATGTTTATATTCACAAGTTTGTTTTCTTTGATTTCATGGTATAACTACAAATACCCATCCCCAGCAGAACCATAGGCATGAGTAACTCTTAAAACAGAGCTACAAGGAGGAGAGGGGATGAGAGGAAACATATGGGGGGGCGAGGGAGAGAGAGGCACAGAGAGACTGAAACAGACAGAGCCAGCTTGCAGGACATGGCCTTGGATCCCCATTTTTTGGTTTTAAAAATA